TTCCCGAAGCCAATGATATCATCGACGGTGCGGTGACCGCCGGCAATACCGCCGGTATACTCGTGCACTGCGCGGCCGGTGTGTCGCGATCGGCCACTATTGTCATCGCATATCTCATGCAAACGCTTCAGCGGCCGTACGAAGAGGTCAGGGATTTAGTCCGCCGGCGACGGCCGCAGATATACCCGAACGAGGGGTTTATCGATCAGTTAGAACTGTTTGAGTCGATGGACTACTGTCTGGACGCCAACGATCGTCGACTCAGACACTATCTGCTGAATACTTATGTAAAGGCTGTGGAGGACGGTTTGGATCAGTACTTCCAACGCCTGTCTGTGGCCGAGAAATTGACACAAGATATGTATTATGGGGTACCCTATGCTTGCATTAGCTGTTCCGCTGTGCTGTTCAATGAGATACATGTGGTTAAGAATGGTAAATATAATGGTCTAGATGTTTGCGGCCGAGTATTCATTGAACCCCAGCCCTGGATGTCTGACCAGTTGTCGGCGCCTTTTGATGAGACGGCACATGAGTTGGAGGTTAAATGTCCTCATTGTCGACAAGTGGTGGCCAAATGTGCGACAATAATCTCTAATTACAAACTATTGGTTAAGAATATTCATTGCAAATGTGGTCATCACAAGGATGTGATGGGTCTTAAAATAATTATGTTGGGCATTATGTTATACAATGAGTCTATGTAATCTCAGCAATTATTGTTAATTATGAAAGACAATTATTTGTATGCTATTTGATTTGTTTATAATGCAAATTTATTTTTGAATATGTTAATTTCTAATAAATTTGATTTTTGATTAATAAGTCATTTTATTTTATTTAAAGTTTACTTTCTTTATAAATTACACGATTTAACTAATTTCTTAAATTTCTAATGGAAAAACATCTAACATTTAAATATCAACTGATTTTAAAGGTGTTAAAATAAACGATAATGATAAGTTTCAAACAATATGTGATATGGTTATCAAATTTGTCAGATTTATCATTCCATATTCACCATATATAAAGTTTAATTTAATATTAATGCACAAGTTATTTTTCAAATATTTATCATTTTTAAAATATAATCATTAACTGAAAAATCAACTATTGTCAATAGCCTATTGATCAAATTAAAGTACAAATAATTTCCTTCAAAAAACAATTGAATATTAAAAATTTTAATTTAAAATACACATCAAATGAGTCAAACACTATAGCATTCAATACCATTACTTACAACATTAGACATTGAAAGTTAGTATAAGACAAGTGTGCTTAACATTAACATCACATTTGGTGTTCACACAATTCACACCACACATCGTAAAACACGGTAAATATACTGTATTAATATTTTAAAATATACCACAATGGTTTAAAATCGATAATATATTAATTATCAACTAGATCAATGGGTAAACAAGGTATACAAAGTACCTTGAAGAAAGTGGACACAGAACCTGAGATCCCAGACATGGACAAGATATGGGACACCTTATATTTGGGCGAAATGAGCGGCGCGCTGGACGAAAAGCAGATACTCTGGTATAACATTAAGACAATCGTAACTGTGATGGAAGAGCCCATAGACAACCGGTTCCACTGCGAGGGCGTCGCCTATCACTGGATCAAAGCCGAAGATTATGAAGAAGAGGATCTATTGACCCACTTTCACGAGGCCTACGATATCATCGACGCGGCGGTGACGGCCAAGACGGGGGTTTTGGTGCACTGCAGGGCTGGCATATCGCGGTCGGCGACGATTGTCATCGCATACCTGATGCGAAAGCTCCAGAAGCCGTACAAAGAGGTTCGAGCGTTGGTTAGATCGCGCCGGGACTGCATTGAGCCCAACGACGGGTTTGTCGATCAGTTACTGCTGTTTGAGTCGATGGCCTACCGGTTGGACGCTAACAATTGCCACTTCAGACAATATCTGCTGCAAACACTGATGATGTCACCCGATGCCCGGCTGATGCTATACTACGAGCGTATGTCTGTGGCCGAGAAGTTGACCCCAGACTTGGATTATGGCCCGCAGTATGTGTGCACCGGTTGTGACGAAGGGCTGTTCAATGAGATACATGTGCTTAAGAATGACGGCTCAGATATGTATAAAAATATGAAGGTTTGCGGCCGAGTATTCATTGAACCCCAGCGATGGATGGGTTGGACTAAAGTGACCGAAACGGTCATTAGATGCCAGACGTGTGGCCAACTGGTGGGACGGGTGGGCCCGACATATCCCGTGATTGACTGCCAATGCGGACACCATATGGATGTGGACTCACCTCTTAAGGTGGAGATGACGGCAAACATGTTTAAAAAAATCTGAGTAAAAACCATTATGCTTATAAATTTAACAATATAACTAACAATTGTTATTATAAACTAATTTATTACAACAAAATTCAAACAACTAATACATTAACCATAAAACAAATTGTTTTTTGTATTGAAAATCTCATACATATGTATTATTATTTTAAATAATTTATTTTGCATTAATTAAAGATAATATAAATTGAAACAGTTGTCCAAAAATGTCAATCCAAGATATGACTCGAGAGGAATATCATAGCGCCGATGAAAACCAGGACATGAACCACATCTGGGGTAGAGTGTATTTGGGGTCATATGAGGCCACACAAAATCTACCCCAACTCCAGAAACACAACATACGGACAATACTGACAGTAATGCACACAGAGATACCGGCGGCCAATAGACACCCGACAGTGAAATACCATTATATACCGGCGCACGACATCTGGTACCAGGACTTGATAACCACTTTTGCCGAGACCTACGATATCATTGACACTGTGGTCACCTCCGAGACAGGGATTTTGGTGCACTCGGCGGCCGGCAAATCCCGATCGGCCGCTACTGTCATCTCATACCTGATGAAAAAGCTCGGGAAGCCATACGAAGAGGTCAGGGATTTGGTCGACCAAAAAAGGCCACACATTA